TTCTTCTCACACTTGAACTAGATGTGCCCTGCACCTGACCCGCATTCTCCCCAAAATAATTGCCCTGCATCTGACCCAAATTCACCCCAGAACTACTGCCCTCAGTCAAAGTCACATTCACCCTAGAAGCTGATCCTTGCAGCTGACTCACTGTGTCACCAACACCTAGCATCCTTCTCTCACTCACATTTGAACCTTTCATTAACCCCTTTCTTATAGCTGTGGATCTAGGAAACTTTCTTCTAATCTGTGAAGCTTTTGTCAATGGTTCATCATCAGAAAAGTTAGGTGTATCAGTCACTGCCAAAGGTGAGAATCTAGGACTCGTTCTTAGTACTAAATCCTTGAAAACAGTATTTGGTGACCTAGGAGATGGTGGTTGCATTGGGGTTGTTTTGGTGGCAACACTCTTCTTAGTCTTTGCAGCCTTAACCTTCCTAGACTTTTCTACCTTCTTCATAGTTTTCTCAAACTCTATTTTACCCTTGGTATACTCAGCAGCAGATTGATTGTTATTTGTTTCAACTTGGGGTGAATCATAACCCTCAGTATACCTAGGTGGAGTGGACTCATTATTTAGGGTTATCTCATCAATAGAAGGCTGGAGTTCAATTTGGGAGGGTCAAATTGGAATGGTTCTTCTTGGGTTGTTTCATTTTGAGTGGTTCGATCTGTTTGGAGTGTTTCATTCTGAGGGGGTTGATCATTTGGTGGTGCAGTTTGGGAAGGTTCATCGGTATGGGGTGGTACAGTTTGGGAAGGTGCAGCAATTGGTTGTGCAGATTTAGATTTGTTCCTTAACCTATTGATCATTCTATTCAAGGCACTTGGTTTCTTGGCAAACCCAACCCAAATGTGATACATCTCACACTCACCTAGGGTATGAATCAACTTAAAAAAATCAGCATCATCTAGTAAAGGGTGATTCTTTTCATTGTAACCATATCCAAAGGAAGGGTTGATTAAAGGGAACTCAGTGTCTAATGCAGCAGTGTCTTCAAATTCCATAACCAAATCCATCAAATTACATCTATCTAAGTCAACACCAATATCAACATGTTTATCAAAGTAATGAAACCTTACCACCACATCACCCATTCTGCAAAATATTGAAAACAATGTACACACTTACAACATGCAAATAAATTCCAATTCAGATATCCAACGGTCAATGAAACATGATCATGGCATTTCATCCAATTTAATTCCAGACTCTAAACAAATAATTGAACAAACATAATCACGCACCTAATATACATGAAAGAACCCTAAAATCGCACAATATATAACATTTAAATAATGAATTAAACCTAAAATCTCATAGAAAAATAGAACATCAAACAAATGCACCAAATCAGGCATAAATGAACAGTAGTAGTGCTAAAGTACCTAAATTATGGAAGATTTCCCTCTAATGGCTTTGTAGACCAACGAAATTAGCGAATTTCCCTTGCAAACCCTAGGATTGCTTCGTGAATTCACCAGAGAGCAGAGGAGAGAGATGAAATTTGAAACTAAATTTTGGTTTAAGTCCAATCGACATAAATGAAAGGGGAAGGGGCTTAATTATGGATGATGGAGGGAAGGATTTAAAAGGGGGCAAATTAGTCTTTTCCTACTTTAGTAACCTAACTCAGCTATTAACCTAAATTTACTAGGTTATTAACGTCTGATTAACAGACTAATCATGTTAATTATAAAGTCAAAACCTTGGGTATATTAGCAAGAAGTCAAAAAAAAATGTGGTGCCACTAGGTAAAGTCAATACCTGGTGTGTACCAATGGGAATTTCCAAAAATTTTATTAGAGCAACTACAATGGTTGGCTAATTTATTTAATAGCTTAGCATGCCAAATCATCTTCTTAAGCTACAACAATTCAAGCTATGTGTTGCTCCAATGGTTAAGCTAATTGTAAATTAATTTATTTTTAAATTAATAATAATTTTAATCTAATAAATATTTGCCAAGCTAATTAGCTCTACAAAGCTAATTTGCTTGCCAAAGCTAATCAACAAGATGTGAAACAATGGTGTAGCTACTAGCTTAAGCTTTTTAATATTTGTAAGCTAGTCCCTTTTCCCAACCACTAGAGTTGCTCTTAGGTGTTTTTTTCACAAAAAGAGGTGTTATAAAAGGTGGTTTATTGCAATTTTTTCATTTTGTTACCCTGAAATCTGAATTATACAAACAGAATTAACCTCCCGTTTTTTACTTATTCTCTTATGAATAATCAAAAGCAGTGGAAACTGAGTTCTTCAATACTTCATGATCCCAAAACCTTAGCAACTGTTATACAAATTTACACAAAATCCAAGAATCTTAATGCAGGAAAACACCTTCATGCCCAAATCATCCGTTCTGTTTACAGAGTATGCAAGTATGTCAACAATTATCTCCTCATTCTGTACACGAAATGTGGGCACCTCGAATATGCACAGAAAGTGTTCGACAAAATGCCCAAGAGAAACTTGGTGTCATGGACTGCGTTGATCAGTGCTCTTTCACAGAACACTCTATGCACACAAGCATTACAAGCGTTTTCCCAGATGAGAATTGCCGGGGAAAGTCCGAATGAGTTCACGTTTTCGAGTGCTGTACAGGCTACAACGTTGCTTAAGGATGTCGGTTTTGGGAGGCAAATACATTGTCTCAGTGTAAAATGTGGGTTTAGCCATGAACTTTTTGTGGGTAGTAATCTTGCTGATATGTATTCCAAGTGTGGGGTGATTCGTGATGGGTGTAAGGTCTTTGAGGAGATGCCTTGTAAGGATGAAGTCTCGTGGACCTCGATGATACACGGGTATGCCAAGAATGGTGATTTTAAGGAGGCTTTGTTGGGTTTTAAGACAATGTTGTTTGAGGCAATGGTGATTGATAGTTATACAATTTCGTGTGCTTTAAGTGCTTGTGGGGCAATGAAGGCCTTTACATTTGGGAGATTGGTTCATTCGATGGTTGTGAAATCGGACTTTGAGAGGGATACTGCCATAGGCAATGCCCTAGTGGATATGTACTCGAAAGTGGGTGAAATGGAAAGTGCGCTGAAAGTGTTTAAGTACAACTCTTGGCGTGTAGATATTGTGTCATGTACCTCTTTGATTGATGGGTATGTGGAAGCTGGTCAAGTAGAGGAAGCGCTTGAGGTGTTTGTAGAGTTTAGGAGGCAAGGCTTGAAGCCTAATGAGTTTACGTTCTCCAGCTTGGTTAAAGCTTGTGCTAACCAAGCTGCGCTTGAGCAAGGATCAATGCTTCATGCTCTAGCAATTAAAATGAATTTTGCAGCAGACCCATATGTCTCATCTACGCTAGTTTTTATGTACGGGAAGTGTGGATTGGTTGAGCATTCAGAACGATTGTTCAACTGTATCAAAAACCCAACTGAATTTGCATGGAATTCATTGTTGGGTGGTTTTTCTCAACATGGCTTCGGGAGAAAAGTCAATAAAGCTTTTAAAAGAATGGTCCGTAGAGGTATGAAGCCAAATGCTATAACCTTTATGATCCTCTTGACAGGTTGCAGCCATTCTGGGTTGGTTGATAAAGGATTGGGCTACTTTAAAGCCATGGAGAGGGACTACGGGGTGACACCTACAGCAGAGCACTATTCATGTATTATTGATCTACTTAGCCGAGCAGGAAAGCTCAAAGAAGCCGATGACTTCATTAGTCAAATGCCTTTCGAGCCAAATGCTTTTGGTTGGTCTTCTTATCTTGGGGCTTGCAGGATTCAAGGTGATAAAGCACGGGCTAAAATCGCAGCAGAGAAGCTAATGAGGCTGGAGCCTGAGAATAGCAGCACACACATTCTTCTCTCTAGCGTTTATGCAAAAGAAAGACAATGGGAAGATGTAAGAAATTTGAGGAAAATGATAAAAGATGGAAACATAAGAAAAGTGCCTGGCTATAGCTGGATCGATGTTGGGAACAAAACCCATGTTTTTGGCGCACATGAATGGTCTCATCCTCAACAAAGAGAGATCTACAATAAGCTCGATAGTCTCATAGAAGAGATAAAGAAAGTTGGATATAAACCCCAAACAGAAGTCGTTGATATTGATATAGATGACGACACAAAGGAAAAGATACTTAAAAATCATAGCGAGAAGCTAGCTGTTGCATTTGCACTAATGACTATGCCGTCTTGGAAGCCTATCATCATAAAAAAGAATCTGAGGATATGCCTGGACTGTCATACTGCATTCAAGTTGATAGCAAGAGTAACTAGAAGACGTATAATAGTGAGGGATAGTAACAGGTTCCATCATTTTTCTAATGGATCTTGTTCCTGTGGAAATTTCTGGTAGTGCTCCAGGAGGTTTATTTCATGATTTCGTCGCTGTTGAGCCAGAAAATGGCCTTAGAGAAGGCAAACAGTGAATGATGTTACTGGACAAATAATCTGTTAGAATACTTGGTGTTTTGGGGTATATTACTCCATGTTGTGTTGCTTCCCAATCAAATAACTAAATCGCGTCTTGCATTTTACACGAGTCTGAAAATTTCCTTTTCGAGAGCATCTCTAGTTTTACTAGATTTCACAAACACTTGTGCCTGATACCCAATTCGCAGTCTGACTTATATCGTGTTGTCTTCAAGGTTACATGACATGAATCGAACTAATTTAAAATCCATATCACTATCATCGATTAGTCGATTATAATAAGTTAGATGACAAGTGACAATGTTCCTAGATTTTACCCAAACTGATCCAATTGACTAATCAGTCATCACTCAAGTACAAGCCAAACCAAACCAATTTGTATGATATTGCAAGTTGATGGGTTAATCAATTGACAAGTCTTGATGGACATAATAGACTAATGGAGGGAAATTGAGTTATTTTTTACTTATTTCTATGACTTGAAGGATTAGACATTCATCGCGACATGTTGAGCTGCAAAGCACAGCAAAAACTATAACAGGGTATATAATAAAGGCATAAACAGTAAAACCAGTTGTACAAAACTTCAATCAGACACTTAGTATCTACATCAAACAAAAGCACAGCAAAACAATTATGGATACAATATAATCTTAAGAATTCTTTGTATTCATCACATAAAACACAACGTAGTTAACTTTTTCAAGGTATACAGAATAACTTAAGAGCTACTTTTTATTTCAAAAACCTATATTTCAAACAAGGAAATGACTGTTATGTACGCGCTAGAGAGCAGCAAATTAAAAGGCATAAACTTCTACCTACAAAGAGAAACTATATATCCAGGTTAAATAGCAATGCTTCTCAGGGATCACAGATTAAACTTGCTGGAAACAACTGAATTATGCTCTAGGATAACGTGAACGCCCTTTTTTCCTCAGAAATTCAGGGATTTCCACTGAGCTAGCTTCACTGAAAGATGGCCGTCGGTTAATTCCAGGGCCACCATCTCCCTGTGTTTGCTGACTTACCTGCATCCTCAAAGTAAAGTAAAATAATCAGGAACAAGTTTGAGATTCAGTCTAAGTATCAACGTCAGTGTTCCTTTTTTTTTCCTTTTTACTTGAGGAAGGAGGGATTGAGGAATAAAAAAAAATACCTGGAGGGGCCTGCTTTCACCTTCTTCTTGACGTTTAAACCCTGTTGCTATTAAAGTAATGGCTACCTGAAATGGAAGGAAGGATTTCTTTTTCAAAAAAAGGTGATCAATAACCAGACAAGACAAAGGTAGAATTTGGTTGTATTTGAGGCAAATATCTGTATATCAGAGCCAAACGTTCTAGGAGGACTGGGTGACATTCTAAAATACGATCAAGCTCAAGGTTAATTTAAAGCTCATGTCTAAGGTCCATGTGAATGTTTTTCACATTTGGGTATAATGAATAACGAATACATAAATGTCTGGTGAATGGCTGACACTTTATCAACCTTAATGAGGAAGGCAATATATGCAATTTTTATTGAGACTTAGATAGATCAGCCTTCTTGATAATAGATAAGAGAAGTGGCAGATATAGGAGTTACCCATTCCCTAGCATAGCTAAAGCCTCTATCATTGCTAAGTTTATGCTAATGCACTTTAATTTAAAAAAAAAAAAAAGAAATTATGGTAGCCTTCTACTTTTGACTTTTATCGTTGGTAGCAAAAACTTTTTTTGATTATCAATGGTAGCCATAATTTTTTTTACAACTTATCAAACGTGGCATCAATGATTTTTGTTAGAAATTCTGTTATATCTAACTTTTATTGAAAACTAAGGTTTACATTTTCAGCTAACAGAAGGGATTTAAGAAAGAAAAAAAAAAAATCAAACCCACAAAATCAGCCAACAAATCCATTCTTCTTTCTTCCCTCCCCATCCCCATTCAAACCTCCACTACTAAGCCTTGACTGCCACTTCACCTCCTCGCAGCCACCACTTCCTCCGCAAAATTTTATCAGGTGTCGAATATCTTGAAGAGGTAAAGAGTATTCATTAATCCTAGTAGTATGATTAATGATGATGATAAGGTTGTGTAGCGGGAATTTTAGAAGAACATGATGTGCAGCGTAAAGGAAAGGAGTATATCCTCTATCAGACCAAAAAACAAAGAGAGGAAGAAAGAATGAAGAAAATGGTTTAATGGATACTCTGAAAAATCCAAAAATAAAAAAAAAAACCAAAGATTTCCTTAATCCCAAAATATTAAATAGTAAAAACCTCTTTGAAAAATAGATGGGTATGTGTAGATTCTAGAACAATTAATTGGGTTTGAGCTAGATTTTCGATTTGAGTTAAGACTTTCGAAAGAAGAGAGAGAGAGAGACAAGAGAGTTCGGTGAAGGAGAGAGAAGAAATGGTAGTGGAGGTGGGGATTGGATAGTGTGAAGATGGCGAAGGGTATTAGACAAATGAGATAACCATGGTTAAAATCTGTTAAATAAGGTTAGTTTTAACAAGTCATCATTAATGTCATGTTTGATGACGTGTAGTACCGTAGTAGTTTGGGATACCATTAATAACCCAAAAATAAAAATGGCTACCATTGATAAAAGTCAAAGTACAGGATTACCAATGAGAATTTCTTTTAACAAAATCATGCACAATTTCCAGTTACAGGGTAGAGCTAGAACATTATTAAAATCATATCATGCTGTAAGTATAATATGATTGTGAAGCAATATGAGTCACTAGAAAGGAATTAGGCAATTAATGACTCTCTTTGAGGATTTTAGTTTACCAAAGAAGATCAAGCTTTGTGAGAACAGCTTGCTAGCATACGACTGGTAATTCAAAGACGCAATTCTTAGTTCTAACTATATCTAGAACCCTAAAAATACTACACATCAAAGCTTAAGAAGTCAAGAGTATTGTCATTAGTAGCACCTCATTCTCTCTGATGCATGACATAGTAGCAACCAAATTGATATGTTCCAACAAAACTCACATAGAGAAGATACAAGTTAATGTAAGATTCTGAGGGAGACGATATATTTGTCCATATAATGCATTTTTCATTGCTTACTCACCTGACCACTAAGTGATGGATCTATCACTGCTCCAAATATCAGGTTGGCTGTTGGATCTACAAGATCATAAATAACTTCTGCTGCAGCATTCACCTGTCAAGTTACAATTTTAAGATCCATCACAACAAAAAGGCATTAAGTTGAGTTGTATAAAAAGAGCATCAGGGCTTAACTTTTTTTTTCTACAGAACAAAATGTCCATCTGCCATACATAATTAAATGCTTACTACACATGATTTTCTATGTTGTTAGAGAGACAGACATATAACATCTGTTCTGCAATTCTAAAATAAGAAGAAAAAAAAAAAATCAAGTTATAACACCATTTTTTTTATTTCAATAACTTCTGTTCTACAGGTCTAAAATAAGAATCCTAGTCATGTGACAAATGATTTACTGAACCCACTATTGTGGCTAAAAAAGGTGAACGATACTTAAACATGCAATTGAAAATCAATTAGGTAGACCTTTCATAAGGAAGTGAAGCATCAAACAACAAAATTACACAAATTGTAGAATCTAATTGACAGAATGCAGGTACCTCAAACAAAGTTAAATCACTTCCACCAGTAATATTCCACACAATGCCAGTGGCTCTTTCTATACCAATATCTAGTAAAGGTGACTGGATGGCATTAAGGGCAGCATCTCTTGCTCGGGTCTTACCTGCACAAAAATACACAACATATTGAAAAAAATGTAGCTGCTAAGTGCTGAGACAGGCTTCCATTGATATATTAGTACACTTAAGGTAGGCAGTTGAATTTAAGCAAAGGTAATTAAAAGCAAGCATGAAAACAACAAACCAAGCATGTACACTCTAAGTCCTAGGTATTCAAGATTAGACATAGAAAAACCATGACCCAAAGCTCAACATCAAAACAATTTTGCATACCACACAGAAAGGGGAGCTTCAAAACTCAAAACTATTTCATAGAATCAATCAATCAAAGGGTTGGCTACCCAAGTACTTCCTTCCATTAGATATTGGAAACTAGTAAAAACGTGTATTTACTTTGCAAGTTATAAGTGGAGAACCAAGGGGCCACTTCAGCCCGCATATGCTTGTCTAATCAGCATATTGTAAAATCTGTTTGCAGTATCATGGTTAAACCTAAAGAGAATCATTTCAAGAAATTAAAATTGGCATATCTTCCTTGCTAATTATCGGCTTCAACACTAAACCCCAGAAAATCAAGCAAACAAGAATAAAGATAAACTAATGGTTTCTTACCCCCTAGCCAAATGCCATAGTAATAATAATTAGAAAACATCATCAAAAGGCTTATTCTTATTCAGAAAAGACCTTTTTCATGAGTTCATGACAGGCAAACACCTTTCAAAACATCATCTATACATAAGTTATAAGGTCCCACTCCTTCAAATTTAGGTTGTGCTGCAAGGTTAGAATCTCAATTGGGAGAGAGGGGTAGAGATGATGCTCATTGGGTTGGTAGGTTTCACCGTTTCAGCCAAAAGCAGCTCATACGTGAAACCTTTCCCCTGCCCTCCGTCACATCTCCTTAGGCCAAAAAAAAAGAATTGAACCTAAACTTTCTTCATTCTTAGAAATCAATCATCTCAGAGAACTTCACATATATTCTAAAAGACAGTTTCAAGTGATATTTTATAAAATAATGGTCATCATGAGTGGAGAACACTGGACAAAAATTATCTCCAAAAAAAAAAAGGAAGGTCATCAGTTTTTGGATTTACTTGCTGCTCGGCAGTTAAGAAACTCAAAGAGATGGTACATAAGCAAAGGTGAGTCTAGCATGCTAGGTAGTCGTTAGATATGTTTTTGTTTGCCTTTTCTGTAAAAACTTTGGAGTAATGAAGGTTGTAATAACTAATAAGTACATAATAAAAAAAATTCATGAATTTCTGGATCATAGCCGCATTATAGACTTCATGAAATGGGCTCACGTCCACTTCAACACATTCTATTTTCATTTTGCTACATTAGAAAAATGGGGAAAAAAAAAACAAAATTTACCAGTAGCAGTTCCTATCCCCATCAAGGAAGAGCCAGCATCTGCCATAATAGCCCGCACATCTGCAAAGTCTACGTTCACAAGACCGGGTATCTGTGAACAATTTAATATTACACATCAGCAACTTAAACAAAAATATACTTCAGGTCAAAAAATTTAGGAGGGTCAATCTACAAGTAATAAAATAGCCAACAAGCACAACAAAAACACACAACACTCACCATAAATCATCATAGCTCACATTGTGCAAATGATCCCAGCTTCACTGGCTCACAGCACATACCATGATATGTTATAGCAAGGACACATGACCTTTAAGCAACCTTTTGAAAGAATAGCCATTCAACAAGATTTTGTCGAGTTATATAGTTCAAATGAGTGGCAAATGGCCCAAAACTAATACTATATATCCCAGATAAAATAATTCCTTGATGTAATTCTAATGTTCTATTGGTTAACTAATATTTTACCATGGCATCCTTGACATAGAAAAATACTTGTAATACATAATACAGCCCACTAGAATGTTTCTACGGAAAAAACATTTGTCATAACGCCCGAAATCAAGAAAGCAGCTTCTGAAGGGTGTAATCAATTAAGTTGTGAATTGACAAACATTAAATTTCAACTTTGAGACTGCAGTTCAATTGCTTCTCATTTTCTAAATATATTCAGCAACTATAGTCTTGATACTCTTGAAGCTAAACTTTGTAACATTTTCTTTTTGTTTAATAAAAATTGAGAGATTCTAAAAATTTAAGCCGATATTTTGAATTGAGGATTCCTATGTTTAAACTAAAAAAAAAAAAAAAAAAAAAAAAAAAAAAAAAAAAAAAAAAAAAAAAAAAAACCACCCATAAATGCAACTAAATTATGGGTTTGCAATAGCTAAAAATATAATCTAACAGCACATTAGACACAATGGCCCCAAGTTACAAGCCACACATGTAACAGCTAACCAGATAGAAAAAAGAAAATTTGACATTAAACTTAGGGTTCCATTATATAATCTCAAACTAATAAGTTCTCATAGGATGTAGTGTAACAAGCTTAGATTAATACTAAGGGCCTGTTCTCATTGACTGAACTCAGCTGAGCTGAACTGAGCTGAATTGAACTGAATACTGAAATGAAATGAAATGAATATTTTATAAGAGAAGGAAATTAGGAGCTGAGCTGAACTGAATTGAATTGAATTTCAACGTAAGAGAACAGGCCCTAAGCTAACTTACTTGTTTCTGTTAGTATATCTCGGTACTTTATTTCTTAACAGCCACAGTTATTGATTCCCTAACTAAAAGCTAAGGTCTTTTACGTCAGTTCTATACTTTAATTATGTTTAACTCAAATTTTATATAAACAAGGGCAGAGGACCTACATACAAAAAAGATTGCACAGTGCTTGAATGTTGAGGACTTCTTCATTCACCATACAGAAGGTAAAGATATAAGAAGCCTTAGCACATACCGTGATTATATCTGAGATACCACGAACACCCTGCCGTAGAATATCATCAGCTAGGTTAAATGCTTCGGTAACAGGTGTATTTGGGGAAACTGCAGCCAATAATTTGTCATTTGGAATGACAATGAGAGTGTCAACATTTTCTCTCAAAGCTGCAGTTCCCTCTTGGGCTTGAACTGCCCTCCTCCTACCCTCAAAAGCAAAGGGGGTTGTCACAATGCCAACAGTCAAGATACCCATAGACTTTGCAATCCCTGCAATTATAGGTGCTGCACCAGTCCCAGTGCCACCACCCATTCCAGCCTGCAAAAAAATATATTCCAGTGAAAATGCCAATCAAAGACAGATCCAAAATTCAACCAACTTTGTTTTAGTGAGCATTTACACTCATGTTTATCATCATCAACCAATTCTCAATAAAATGATGAAGCTCCTTTAGACACAGGAAAACAGACATCCAGAAGCATAAAGAGCTTTTTCAAAGAGAATTCAGGAGGAAGAGGAGACAACTTACAGCAAGAATATAAAAATGATGGTAAATTTCATTTTTCCTGTTTTGAGTAGGGTGTTTGTGTATAGGCAAATGATATGATTTATCTCATTATAAAAGAAGCAAATCAAGATACAAAGAGAGTAAAGGCCATATACATAGTCTTCCCAACACATGGCACATTTTGTGTGAACACAGTTTCTTTAAGAGACGAAATAAGTCATAAGATACAAAGTATTATAAGCACTCTAGAAACAACGGAATAGTTTCTGTGCAACATTTTAGAAAAAAAACAATTCTCATTAACATACAATCTTCAGGCTCAAACAATAGGGGACTGAAATGAAATTTCTAGAGTTTATATATTCTATTCATTCATATAGAATAAAACGCAAGTGTTAAGCACTGGACATATAATTATGTAAAATTATATTCTATGATAAAAACATAAATAAATAATAACCTATCATATGGACCATTTTAATTGCTGGTGAACGACTACACCTATTGTAGAAATTATAAACGGCCAAGGACTTAAAAATAACTATTTACTTTTCTTTGAAACAATGAAGTTCTGAAAGATTAATGGAGTGCAAAACACACCGTCACAAAGACCATGTCTGAGCCATGAAGGGCCTCTTCTATAGCTTCTCTGCTTTCTTTAGCTGCATTTGATCCTATTTCTGGGTTCCCACCAGCTCCTAAACCTCGTGTGAGTTCTTGACCAATTTGCAAGCGGTTCTCCGGGAAAACAGGAGACATTCTCATGGCTTGAATATCAGTGTTGACAATCCAAAACTCAACACCTTTCATGGCACTCTCTATCATCCGATTGACAGCATTCGAACCACCACCACCTACACCAATAACTTTGATAGTAGCTTCATTAAAATTATCAGCCCTGGAAGGCTCTCTTAAGCTATCTGTCACGCTTCCACTTGGACCTTCATTCTTTGAACTGTTCGTCATGCTGCTCACATCACCCCCTCGAAGCAACGAAACTTCAGGGTGAAGATTGAGAAATGGGTCATTGTTATTAGATCTACTAACACTATGTGAATTCGACGAGCACTTGAACTTAGACGAACATGACACCGCCATTTTGTGCCCGTTAACCCCTGAAACATTCCTTTCATCAAAAAACTTCACCGAAGTAATTCTACCCAATTGATTCTCTATAGGGAACCTTCTTCCAAGTACAGTCAATACCCCCCTCGAGCTTCCAGCATCGGAACACGTAAGGGATTTCAACCCACAACTCGCCATATGAAATTCCTAACAATGCCCACTTAGCCAAATACTGTTCTACTCCAATTCCTCACACAAATACTTTCAAACAGCAAAATTTAAGTCCCTATCTCAACACCTGCTCCAACAAATCAAATATGGGCATAAATCAAATTCATAATAAAATACCCAAATCGAAAAGTCCCTCATCTTAAACAATCATATAAGCCCCACAATTGTGTTGGAATCACAATCAGTCAAAGACTTGAGCTTGACTAAACACATTATCACTATCAAAGATTCATTAGCACAATAAATATAATGCAACTAAAAGCACATTTCTTAGACATTAATAAATATGAAAAATGCAACCCCATATAATTCAGCAAAATAGTAAATTGAGCACAAATTCAACATGAAAGAACCCTAAAACCCCATCAAATAATACTGCAAAATTTCAAAAGAAAATGGCGGAAACAAGCAAATGAAAACTGGAAAAAAGAGAGAGAAAAATGCACCTTAGATAATCATAGAGCAATTGAAAGAAGAAAGCATAGGAATCCAGAAGAATTGGAAGGTGGGGTTTAAAAATGAGGCTATTTTTGGGTGAAGGTTTTAGCCTTTCTTTTCTCACACTCTGTTAGTGCATAGTGCCCACCCCTTTGCTTTGTTCTTTTTTGTGTTTTGGGTTTTGGCATTAACAAAGAAATTACAACTAAGAAAATGAAAAGAGAGAAAAATGCAACTTAAAATAAAAAATAAAAAAATCATAATCAAGCATTTATCACAAATGCAAAAAATGGTTGAAAGCTATTGAATCTAATGCAACCTATGTGGGGTACAATTCAAGATTGCAAAGGAGAAAAGGACTTTAATTTTCTTGAGTGAGATTGAGTTTTTAATTCTTATTTTTTTTTTCTTTTTTTGATGTGTTTTATTGGCAAGATTTAATAATTAAGAAAGGCATTTGTCACCACGAGTGACTTTTAAATTATGAATGTGATTCTTTCTTTCAAAAAATAAATTATGAATGTGATATGCTAATTGGCTAATTATGTACTTGAACTTTTCATAGTTCTTAACATCTTCTTGATTATGTATGTTGTAGTGTAGTATATAATGTACTTTTGACCATTTTATTATAAAATATAGTGGTATAATTAATAAAATAAATTATAAATAGAAAAAAAAAATTAGTTTGGTTTAAAAAAAAATCAAAAACTGTGGAGTGTCTAACAAGATTTCACATAAAATATGTTTTTCAGATGTACGGAATATATTAATAATTTACTACGAATAGTGAAATTTTCTAATTTTCATCAGGCGAATCATTATAAAAAGGAAAATATGTAATAAATGAGAAGTGCATATTTGTGGCTCTCTAAACACCACCAAAAAAAAAAAAAAAAAAGAGTGAAAATTGTGGAGAAAATAGGAAGAGAAATTATTTTATGTCATTTCCTACTATTTTTTGCTTTACCCAAAATAACAATCACTTTTTAAGAATTACCAAAAATTCTATTGATAAAAATTGCATATTTGAAAACTAAAAGATCAAGACAAAATGACTATGTATTAAAAAATTACTCGTAGACTTCATTTCCAATAGAATCTCTAAAGATTTTAATTGAGACAATTCAGACAAACAAAAGAAAATAGAGAAACTAAAACTATTTCACTATTTATTTGCATAATAATATACTTCATATAACATATGCACAATTACAATTTCAAAAGCCTTTTGTTGCTTTGTTTGGCGACGTCCACATCAGCAAAATCAAATTTGAATCTAAAAAAAAATAGTTTTTGAAGAGCAAATTTAGTTGGAGGAAGTCTATGTCAATAATTACTCTCGTCATCAAGGACAATAATAAGTGTTGTTTGGTATTATTAGATCTCATGGTACGATTAATATACCAAAATTATAAGATTTACCTAAATTTTTTTTTTTTTTGGGTGCACAAGATTTACCTCAATTTAGTTGTCTAATTCAAATATTACTATCATGTACCAAGTGCTCTGTAGTTAATCTAGTTATGTTAGAATTTATTGAATTTCCAAAGCAGTGTTCTCTTCAATCAAAAATATTAATTATATTAAATATAATTTAATTTAAATAAGTAAAATCATGTTTATAACAATAACATGACCAAATGGGCATTACATTGTCCTTATTTCACATAGGAAAATATGATAACAATAACATACGAATTAGATAGTTCAACCACCCATGTTGACATGTTGTTTAGTGACTGTAATCCATATCCAAAGAATTACTTTACGGAAATGTTTGTATGTTAAATTATTTCTCAGTTCAATAATGATGTCAATCTGTTCTTTATAAATTGAATTTACTGATAAAAACTTCAGCTTATTTGTTAAATTACAAATCACCATCAGAAAACTTAGGTGATTACGGCTTCTCATATGGATTGTAACTACAATGCACAATTACTGTACATTCATCGTCATGTAAAACTATCTAATAAAACTATAAAAACTCGAGTATCTGATCTGCATCAGATCCGATATTGATTTATCCAATCCAATTAATTTAACAGTTCTGTCTGCAAAACATAGAGCACGACCTAAGAGCAAGTCCCTATCAACATCTTAGTATGGCCTCTTATCTTGTACAGGATTTTTTATATCAGCTGTAAAAATGCAACATGAAATTCAAGGGACATTATTCAAGTTCATCTCACAGAGATTCAACATAAATAATTTGCTATCCTGAAAAATGCTTGTAAATCATTAACAGTTTTATACTCTTAACAGAATACAAAATTCGAACTACAAACTTTAATACTTAGCAATGAGCCGATGCACATTCTGCCACTGCTAATACAAAAATCAAACCTCTTTACTTCAATCTATCCTTCTTTCCAGGCTTCAACTTTATGACTTCGTCCTTGTAACGCATACCTTTTTCTTTGTACGAGTCAGGGGGTTTGACACTACGAACAGCAGCAGCAAACTGATGCGTTCTTGCCTTGTCAATACCAGCACAACAGATTACATCAGGTTTAAAGCAGAAGACACGAACAGTGGGTGGAACTGGCAACTCAACTTCATGACTGTAACCCAGTTTAAGGCACAACAAGCGACCTTCTGCTTCAGCTCTGGCTTTGTATCCTGTTCCTAATAGCCTCAGAATTCGGAAATACTTTGCTTCCATCGGATCTGATTAAATTCAGGATTTATATATATGTTAGAGGTAAAACAGAACTCCTCCACCAAAAACTGAGCAAACACAAGCAGTGCATATTGGCTGAACACAGGTATGGGTCAGATAATCAGATTCCTCCCCCACCAAAGGAAAAAAAAAAAAAAAAAAACAAAAAGATTATGACATTTTCTGCACGGTAGCTGACCCAAACTAAACACAGACCTTTTCTATTTAACAAAAAAATAGAGAAAAGTTTACTATTTTTTCACTTTTAATTAAACTTTCGTTTCACATATTTGAAAACCTAAAGTATAAAATTAGAAAAACAACAATACCAGGCATTATCTTCAACAAGAGTTCGTTTCGGAGAAAGAACATCAAACTAGAACACTCGGAACAGATATATTTTTTCAAAGATTAGAAGCAAAAGGTAACAGATCATGAAAGAGGTAACATACAGATTTTACAATTTTACCACTCTTTATTTCAGCAGCAAACCTTGGCACAAGTTTGGGACCTGGGAGACCCCCTCGTAACTGACTTGAACCAAAAATCACCTAACCTGAACTTGGCATGCCCAACCTATTTCACATTTTGACTTGTCTATGCCGAGCAAACCATCCATCCAACTACTTATGATCACAATTGCACTTCTAGTACTTCATATAATCTTACAGTTTCTCTTTCATCATGACAAGTTCTACAAAATGTATGCCCATTGCCCAATCAGATGGTCATTGCTACAAATATCATCACAATTGCACTTCTAGTACTCCATATGATCTTACAATTTCTCTTTCATCATGACAAATTCTACAAAATGTATGCCCATTGCCCAATCAGATGGTCATTGCTACAAATATCATCACAATTGCACTTCTAGTACTCCATATGATCTTACAGTTTCTCTTTCATCATGACAAGTTGTACAATATGTATGCCCATTGCCCAATCAGATGGTCATTGCTACAACCCTGGAACCCCCCCCCCCCAACAAATCCCCGTCTCTCACACACCCACACACTATAAAAACAAAAGGGGGCTACTATACATAACCATTATAGCTACAAATGATTCTACTAACAATTAAGCCCCACATCTATACTATTATACACTTAATATATCCGTTTGAACACAGTCACCACTATTCTCAGACATATCCAGTTAACTAGAGAGAAGTTCATACTCCCATCAACCAGGTTGCTAGAATATTTTTTCCATTCTCTTAAAAGATCAAAGCTTTCAAACTATACAAGAGGGCATCTAGGGCATAGATTTTGTCTAGAAATCAATAGATATGACCCTTCTAAACTTTTCCACCACCTTTGGACTTTGTGGCTGTAACATAATATCCCGCAACAACTTTAGAACAAACCCCTTCTGGGAAGAATTATATCAAACAACTTATCATTGGAATTAGAACTATCAAAAAGTTTGATAGTAACAAAGTTTTCACCTTTTCAGGAAAATAGTCTAGTTATGTAATTTACTGTAATAGTAAAGGCATTGAGCAGATAATATTCTTCTCCTTAGACAATAATCTACTCTATAAGTTACTAACAAAGCCATATATTCCCAACTAACACTACCTTATATATTGGATCAATTACATTCTAACATGTACAACCAACACCACAACCCTAATCAATCAAATCTTTCTAAATAGCATTGTCAAATGGAAAAATGAGGCTGTTACCAAACTTAATTTTGAACTCACCGAAGTAAACATTTCATAAAAACATGGAAAATAGATTCGAAATAATCATTGTGGAGGTTCTTAGCTGATCTACCAAGTTTTAAAAAATCAGCAACAAATGGGAGGTCCATCTAGGAATAATAATGTATAGTTGTATACTTGTACATTATATTGCGATTTCCAAATAAAACGTCGCATACCCTAGATTTGAATTAGTTTTTTAGTAAGATTCCCAAACATAATCCCACTTAATTGGAGTAGCAAAGCGAGGATGAGGAGCTATTGGGACAATGTGACTATCAATTTCGAGGAACAAGCAATATAATTCAAAGAATCATGTTCTAAAACTAGTAGCTCTTCATAAACAAACCCATCAAATCTCCAAATTCCTACTAAGAAATTCATAGTTCTGGCCTACAATACAGATTATAAACAACAGCTTGCAACACATTAACAAAAGGTCCATTAACAACGAAATTTGACTTAATTATCAAATTAAGCTCCAAAAATCACATTAAATTCTTCTCGGTTAAGAATATCAGCGTAAATTGCACATAGCAATATTTTAAAAACAAAATCGATCGTTATAATCATACACAAGTTCAGTAACTATAACCAAATAAAAATAGCTAAATTTTCAATAATCTATCTTAGAAGGACCCTAAATTGAATTTACTGGCGATTAGATTTAACGATAAACCCTAGATTGTGAAATTGATTTACAATTATATAAAAAAGAAATTATTAATTTTACCTCAGAAGTTGCTTCGATGAGTGGGGAAAGCTCAGAAGCGGCTTCAATGGAGAAGAGTATGTGCTTCAATGGAGGAGAAAGATTAACGGACACGTCGGAGTAGTATCAAATTAGTAACGGTCACGGAGTGGAAATAAAGAGTATTATTAGGGTTAGAAATGGATTTCAGGCCTCTTCTTTTCAAGGAAATTTTCACATTTGCTACCACTAAAAACACCACGCTTCACATTTGTTATCTGTTTAAATTTTTTTTTTATTTTACTACCACCTAAAACAGAGTTTGTTAAAAATCACTACCATATGCCTTATTCTGTTACTATTTCCGTTAGTGGGTCCACTCCACCGTTTAGCCACCCCTCTAACCACCTTGCAGCCACCCCTCCTCCTCACTGCCACCCCTCACCCCCCTCCCCCTGCCGCCGTCGGCACCGCCGCACGAACCCACCCCTCCTATGCGCATCCAATCCCCCCTTTCCCTTTCCCGTTCTTGAGCTCCGACCCCCACCCCGAGGAAAACCACCCCCTTTCCCCTTCCCTCCACCGGAAATCGGCCCCCCTCCCCTGATTCCCCCACCGAAATCGACCCCCTCCCCTTCCCCTACCTTTTTCGGCCGTCCCTAACCCTAAACCACCACCCTAAACGAATTTTAGGGTTTCGGTTGTGGTGGTTTTGGGGTGGTGGTTTAGGGTTAGGGATGGCCGAAAAGGGTAGGAGAAGGGGAGGGGGGTCGATTTCGATGGGGGAATCAGGGGAGGGGGGGCCGATTTCCGGTGGAGGGAAGGGGAAAGGGGGTTACGGTGGTGTTGGTATGGGTTTTGGGGGTTACGGTGGCGGTGGCGGTGGTGGTCTGGGTTTGGGGGTGTCGGCTTAGGATTAGGATTGTCAATTTTGGGTGGGGAAAAGGGAGGGGGTGAGGTCGTCGGCGCCGGCCGAATCTTTAGGCGCCGGAAGGGGGAGGGTGGCAGATTAGGGGAGGAAGAGGGTGGCAGATTAGGGGAAGGGGTGGGTGGGGTTGCTGTTTTTTTTTTAAATTTTTTAAAAATCTTTTTAATTTTTCTTCTTTTTTTTTTAAATAAACTTAACGAAAATCCTAACGGATTTCGTTAAGTGGTAGTAAGTTTTAACAAAGTCTGATTTAGGTGGTAGCAAAGTAAAAAAAAAAAAATTAAATAGGTAGCAAATCTGAAGCGAGGCGTTTTAGGTGGTAGCAAATGTGAAAATTTCCTCTTTTCAACTTAATTTCAGTTTAGATCAGTTTCAATCAATTCAATATAATTTTTAATTTTCTTCTCTCATTAATTATTCATTTCAGCTCTATTCAGTTCAATTTAGGCTCCCAATTAAACAATTATCATTATCAAATGTTTGATTAGAATGATTGGGTGATAATTACTACTTCCCTCCGTTTTTTATTTGACACATACGGAGTAATTCCTTTTTTAGGAAGTTTATTTTTAATTCACGCGTTTCTTTTTTGGCTAAGTTTTATAGCTTGCTTTTTTTAGTGTACCCCACTTGCTTTATCATTCTCTTTCCTCTTCTTAATATGTGTGTTTAAATTGAACGTATCAATTAAATGAAAACTGAGGAAGTATTACATAAGGGTAATTGTTTCCAGTTTTCCACCCATTTATAACCTATCTACTTCGTATTAGTTAAGGCAACAACTTTCTTTATCATTCTCAAACAAAAATAAAGATAGTTAAGGTTCAAGTGATTCATTCCATGTTTAAACCAAACAAATAAAAAGGTAACGGTTAAATGATTCATTTCCTTCTCCTTATTGTTTTCTTTCTACTCCATTTCCAATATCCATACCAAATGCCCTCATAGTGTTACCCTTACTAGTTGTTTGGTATCACTAAGGAAATGTTAAACGATTATAACAATTTGTTTCAACTTGTTTAGCATAGATAACTAGGAAACAAATAGTTTTCCTTTTTTTTCTTCAAAAAAACAAAGTTTTTCTTTTACTTTTTGTTGTCTTTGCTATTTTTTGCTACACATTATGCAATGTAGAGGCGTAGAGTAACAATAATTACCATATGCAGTTGATTACAAAAGCATTTAAATTCTTGCATTCTAAAAAAGAAAATAATTCAAAAGATATTGAAACATTAACCCCAATAACTTAGGACAAAAATTTCTACTTCTTCTTAAGAGATTAATTGCATATTTTTTCTTCATATTAGTTGGTGCTTGATAGAAGATGCGGAGTTTATGTTCTTCCGTCGTGAGAATTGTAGCAACCTCTAAAGCTTCAAACGGAGAAATGTCATATAACTTTATCACCTCATCCAAAACCGTGTTCACTTTTTCATCCATCATTTGCTCTCTTTTTTCCGCTTTAGACCATGCACTAGCTATAGTCCCGAGATTAACATTGATATCTTCAAATATCTTCCCAAATTTGTTGAAAACATCATGAAAGGAGGCCACCAAATCATCATCATTCAAACAAGCTCTTCAAATCTACATGTTCTTTCCTTTTACCTTAGCCTCGTAGAGAGTTTTCCAGATTGAGTAGTAGAATCACTTGCGAAAGAATGAGTTGTAGAAGCTTTCACTTTTGCCATTTTGGAAGGAGTTGAATGATCATTCTCTTTCTTCCCGGGGCGTTTTCCGTATTGATTAGTAGAAGAATAAGTGTCCGAATGAGTAGAATTCACATCATCTTCTTCATCACTCTCGACATTCAATGATTGCTTATCAATCTCTTGATCCATATCTTCTATAACATCAACGAACAACTCACTTGCATTTCCGGTAGTTTTGTCTTTTGCGCATAAGTATGCAAGAATTTCATAATATCAATAAATGATTCCAAACTAGTATTGGCAGGGGACGAGATTATACCGTATCAATAAATGATTAATGCGAAAAATTACAGCGAAAGTAGCCGGATATCCGATATTGGTTGTATTTTAAAATGTTTGGTGACTTTTTTTTTTTAATTGTATTATGCAAAAATAAACTTTAATATTACCTCCGTTTCTTATTATTTGCAACAAAGGAATACTTTATATTTCACAAATAATACCCCTATGTTGCAAATAATAAAAAACGGAAGTAGTAGCTGTAATTTGAAACCCGTAAAAATGATTATTTTTATTTTTTACCGATTGTAATTGACAAATTTTCCTACGAGATGAACTTGTTTTTACTGGTAAGTATTTCACTTTTGACGACCATCTTCAAATTAAAGGTGGAAAAATAGGAAGAGCACGTCAATGCGGCAATGCCCCATTTTGTAGCCGCAGCACAAACTACTGAATAGTTGAATTGATTTTTGAAGGCAATTCAATTGATTGACATCTACATCTAACGGCAAGTTCTCTTTCAAATTTCATCTCAAAAGTTTCCTTTTATACTACGTAATTTTGAATTTTTTTTATATTTATTATGCTTCAGTTGGGGAACAATTTGATTCAATTGCTTCTAAAATTGCTAAATTGTACCATAATTCTCAGTAATTTCGTCTTTTAGTTACACCCTTTAAGGATTTTATCAATTTTTGTTTCTGGGTATCTTAAATTTTCAATTTTTTTGCTTTTTGATGGGGCAAATTTGAAACCCTGATTCTCACAAATCCTACACTAAATTTTAAAATTTTTGGGTTTTTTCGGGTTTTAATCTAGGTTGCACGGAGACGGATACGGAGACAGATTGTATTGAAGTGGGACTTTTGGGTTGTTTTTGTGTAAGTATGGATAATCTCCCAGTTGAAGTTATTGGTAACATATTGTCCCAACTTGGGGCTGCTAGAGATGTGGTGATTGCATCTACTTCATGCCGAAAATGGCATGAGGCTTGGAGGAATCACCTTCATTCTCTCTTGTTCGATTCGAGTGATTGGCCTTTGTACCATGATTTCCCACAATATAGATTGGAAATTTTGATCACTCAAACTATATTCCAAACAAGAGGACTTCAACGCCTCTCGATCCTTATGGATGATATCGACGAGTTCTCAGCTGCGCCTGTGGTTGCTTGGCTGTTGTATACACGAGACTCTTTGCGCGAGCTATACTATAATGTGAGGACAATTCCTAGTGTGAACATTTTAGAAAAATGTGGACGGCATAAGCTAGAGGTTTTGGCATTAGCTCATAACTCGATCATTGGTGTAGAGCCTAGTTATCAGAGGTTTCCTCAATTGAGGTCTTTGTTATTGACTAGTGTTAGCATCTCAGCACTGGACTTGAGTTTGCTGCTCAATATTTGTCCTAAGCTTGAGGTGTTAAAGCTTATTAATCCCGATATTGCCATATCTGATAATCATACCACGTTGGAGCTCTGTAGTACTTCGTTGAAAGATGTCTATATGGACGCAATTAGCATGGACAAGGTTATATTAGAGGGTGATCATATTGAGAAACTGCATTTGAAGGATTGTACCCTTGAAATGTTTTTGCTTGTTGGGAAAGGTGGGTTGAGGATTCTTAGGATTGACGATGTTAGTGTTTTGCATTTTGATATTGGTGAGAATACTGAAAATCTTGAAGTTGTTGATGCAAGCAACTTCACAATTATGTGGCCAAAGTTTTATCATATAATCTCAAAGTCACCGAGATTGAGGTATCTTAGACTCTGGGGCGGAGTGTTTGATGATGAAGATGAAGTTGTGGATTTGGAGGCTGCTTCTGTTTGCTTTCCTCGACTGAAGCATCTCTCTTTAAGCTATGAAAGAGACTCTGTGCTTCAATATGGTTTGCCAGGATCATCTTGTTTGGAGAATGTAGCTGTGTTGGAATTGGGGTGGACGGTCATCAATGATCTCTTCATAGAATGGTTGTCTGGACTTCTAGAAAGATGCCCTAACCTCAAGAAGTTGATTATCTATGGGGCTGTGTCAGGGGCCAAAACACATGACGAGTGCAATGCTCTCGCTCGCTTCACCTCATCCATTGTCCGGCTTATGAGGATTCATTCACAAGTAGAGGTATTATTTGAATTTGAATGACAACTATCCCTTTGTAATTTTGGGTCAAGTTTATTAGAAGTGTGGCTTGGTCAGGGACATATGCCACTCTCTTTCCGCCAATCCTCTCAGGATTAAGGCTTCCTAGAGATAGAAATTGCTGTAACCTTGCATGTTCATAAGCAATATTAGGAACCCAAATGCTATAAACAAAATTATGTTTTTATGGAAAGATTACACATTTTCCATTCACTGTTAAATGTTGATCATTGTTTGTGGTTGGGTATGAAGTCCTGGAAATATGGACCAAGATGTGATTTTTTTTTTTTTTTTTTTTTTTTTTTTTTTTTTTTTTTTTTGTTGTTGTCTTGTAAAATCATGTACAAGAGTACAATGTACAAGCTACCTTTAAAATTGTTCATGAGAAAAAAGTAGCTGCAATGGTCTGTTCTGATAAAAATATTAGCACTCCTGGATAACAATCATGGTTTATGATTAGTGTATTTGATACTAAGTTTACACAATGGAAGGCAATGCTCTTGATTAGGAGAAATTGAGGCAACATTTGCGGTTGCATCTCGGTTTCTTAAGCTCGTTCAAATCAATTCTTGTGGTTTTTTTCCCCCTGCTAAGTGATAACAGAGCTAGAATGGTCCTGGTGAATGCTAGTGAAACATACACCGGTTGTGATTCCAAGTTATTCAACTTGCATTTGGTGTCAACCAAAATTGAACTAGACTGATCAATATAAACCTATATTCAAAACGCATAATGTTGTTTCAAAATTTGACTTGAATTTCTATCTGACAGATTCTCCTGTTAAGTTTGCAATACATTAAGGAGAGGATGAAATCCATATACAAATTCTGCAACTAGTTGCTAAAAAGCAGAAAATATTTACATCATTTTAAAGATGACAACAGAAGAGAAAGGTAGGCTGTTTTGCTTTGTGTATAATATAACCTAAAAGAACAACTAACACTACATTATTGATCTCTGACGATCAGATTACATAATTACTACTAAATACTATATCTGGACTCAGTTTCCTCTTTGAATCTAATCTAAAGGGTGCAGCTCCGACTCCTCCTCATCGTTTTCAGCTTATCTTGAGCTCTCTGTGCCCTGCTCAGTACTGCCTGTAAATTCTGCTCCTCATGATACTGCAAACCACAAGCAAATAAAACACGATGAAATTGTTGTCTAAAGATCAACTTTTGATTGCTCCGAACAATGATCCCCTACAATTACATGATCTGAATTATTTGAACCAATCTCAAATAATATCCAAAATTTCATGGCTCGAACAAAAGACCCAACCCGACCCGAAAATTACTAGGTCTATCATTCATTGACGAATCATAATAAGCTACTTAATGAAAACCGAATATGACCCAGGCCAAAATTAAACCAGGTCAGTAAATCATCAAAATATGCCCCAAAACACTGTGCCTACACTGGACCAGACATGCTTGCCACCTCTATGGCTCTAAATATGGCTTACTAAAGTTGATTCTCATTTATAAAATCATTACTTTCTGTGAGCATTCCAGGTTTAACAATCATAACTCATGAGGCCGTCAAAAACTTTTCTTAAAGGCAAAGCGAAAAGGATTACCTGCTGTTTCCTTTCTCTCTCAATTTCATCCTGTAATTAAAAGCAACAATTGTGAGACAAATTATAGTTGGGAATTTTTTTGTTTGTAATAATGTGCACTTGAAGAGAAAAACACATTGAATTCTATAGGAAACACCAGTATTATTACCAGGGCCTGCTTTAATTGTGCATTCTCCTCCCTTAACTGATTTAATTCTGCTTCCAGTTCTACGGTATACGCCTGTAGAGAATGCAATTCAGTAAGCCATATAGTTGAAGGAACTAGTGCAAGACAAAACCGATTGATTCAAAATAAGTCACTGCATTCTAGAATTGCTCTTCTTTTACATCATAATTTACTCACTGTGATTATTAAGAGTTCTATACTACCTTTTAGCATAACTAAGTGGACAAAGTTATTTACTCAAAAAAAAAAAAAAAAAAAAAAAAAAGTATACCTGTTTCCTGGCTCTAGACCTGGCAGCAGACTCTCTATTCTTGATCATCCTCCTCTGTCTCCTCTCCACCACCTTCTCCACTGGGCCGTCGATTATCCTCTTCCTCCCTCGTAACGCAGCCATGTCCATTCCATACTGGCCACCAGGATTGTCTACCTGGCCTGGTCCACACATACCCTCTGGAGAAACCGGGCTAACTGGTGCACCAGGTGCGAAAGCTCCACCAGGGCCCCCTCCATTATTCATACGACCTCCATAACAGGCCACTGAGGGCCCCACTACTGGAGCTGGATATCCATTAGTCCTCTTTCCATTCCCTGTGTACGCGGAACTCTCTCCTGCACTTGGCGCCATAGGTTGGTAGGCCCCTCCTGGGGCCATACCCATCATGGGCCTTGTGACGAAGGTAGGACCCATCTGGGGAGCACTAAAGCCAAATTGGTGGTGAGGCGGGTGCTGAGTTGGAGGCGGAGCAGGTGCTACTGCCAATGGTGTTGGTGCCGTGGGCCCACATTGTTCGCGAACAACACCTGCTTTAATCAAGAAGTCCTCTAGAGTCATCTCTCCAAACGTCGCTTGGCGCTGAGGATCATTGGAATTTACCACCTGTTGTTGCTGCTGATCATTTTGCTGTTGCTCATCATCCTCAGGCTGTTGGATCCTCTGAATCTCAGTCCAAACTTCATCAACTGTCTTCCTGCACAGTGGTGCTGGGAGGGTGAGGGAGCCTTGCCTCGCCAAGCTCGGCTGCTTAGCTATTGCCCCCTTACTACTCGAAGAAGCTGCAACACTAACAGAAGGCAGCTGAACATTATTAGGATGCTCATGATGGTGGCCATGATGAGCTTGATTCTCCTCAGCAGTCCAAATACTGTTTAGGAACTCGTCCATATTCATCGACCCAAAATTCTTTCCGTTCTCACTAAGAGTATGCTGAAACTCATCCAAGGTAAGAGAGTAGATTGAAGACTGGCGCCCCAAGGCTGGGAACGCGTAGTTGTTGTTGTTATTATTGTTAGTCCCGCCGTTGCCATGGTTATGATTATGGTCTGTCATTGCTGGTGAATTAACCTCTGCTTGTGCCATTATTTCCAACTCAGCCGCTACCATTTGTAAATTCACCGCCACCGCTGTTCGTTCTTCCAAATATAGATAACCTTTCGGACCTCCGATTGAACTCTTCGATTTAAATCTGTTGTAGGAAGCTGTATTTTGGAGTATGAAGCTGCAGTAGAGCAAAGCAGAGTAGTGTTAAGCATAACCATCACACTAGAGGTAGATCATAGATAAAGAAAGTGGAAGAAATAAAAGAGATACCAAGAAATAAATTCTTCCCTTTTTTGTTCACACCTCAAATTCCAAATAAATAAGAAGAAAAAAAAGAACAAAAAGTACAAAAACTGTTTGATATTTTAGTCATTTTTTACTTTGAATTTTTCCTTTTTCTTTTCTTAAAGTTCTCCTAGCTTCCTAACTCACAAACGGTAGAACCTCATTTTCAGCAATGGTTTTGCATATTGAAATGGACCAATACACACAAAATTTGTACTTTGTATTGAGGAATAATTAACAGGAATAATACTTGCAAATTGACTATTTAATATAATAAATCGTAAATTGATTTTTTAACCTCTCGTCAATGTAACATTGTCAGAGTAATTCCAATGGTCGATTTTGAGTTGTCCTCTTTACTTAAAATGAACTGTCAAAAAATTTCTTTCACATTTTTGGAATAATTCTCCACTGAAACGAATTCATATTGATTATCTAGGCAACAATTAACAAAACAAGAAAACCTATGTAGCAAAGGGAGTATGATTCAATTCCATTCTTTTTGAGTACGCCTTACAACAAACAGTAGTAACAACTAACAAATAAGAATGAGTGAATATCAGCTCACTTATTATTCCTAGTGTACAAATTCAAGATAAAATGTTCCTAGATACACTCAAAATTGTGAAAAATATATCAAGAAATATTAATTGTTGAAGAAAAACGACCGTATAGTTTAATTTCAAAACTCATGAGATACAGTCATACGAATCCTAGGTTCAATTATTTGCACTCGAGAAGGGTTGAATCAGGGGAGGTAATGCCCTCTCAAAAGGCATAGGAATAGCGACGAGCCAAGGATTATAGGAATACCATTCGCATGCTCCTAGAGTCCTAGACAGCTAGCAGTATAAAAAAGAAGCAAAGAAAGCGAAATGGCGATACGTAACCATACCATGGTTGCAAATTTGATGCAAAAGCCCTTTTAAATTTTAGGCAACCTCTCAACAAAGCCAATGAAAGCAAAGGCAAAATGCTGTTTCTGTTGGTAAAAGACAACCTTCTTTGTTGTACAGCTTGTACTATGATTCTTGATTCCTTTACTCACCCTTTCTTATCTTATCTACTGTCCATTATGTTCATTTTTTTTTTAATTCTGTCAGTTATTATTTTGGAAGTTTTGAACAAAGGTTAGTCATACAAAAAATATGTTGATTGTTGTATAATCGATCGAAATTTATTTAGGAAAATAAATAAATAAAGCTAAACAAGTACTTTTCGTCACAATCTGCCTAGTGAATTTTGTGATGGTTACATGTTTGAAAAACAATTTGATAGCAACAAAGAAATTGAAGACTTACTAGCTTTGAATTATAAGATGCTTATACAAACACAAAAGTGTAGGGAAAGAATAGCATACAAGTATTTAATTAATTTTCCGAAATTATTATTCCGTAATAGTTTAAAATACATGACAAAATTATGTGCTGATTGATGTACTTACTGTTTAAGTTAGCTAAATTTTTTCACTTTTAGCCCTTATATTATATACAACACTAAGAACTGAAAACTTGATATATGTATAGCACAAAATCACAATAATGTACTTATTACTTAAATTTATGTTAGATTAATCAAGATTTTAAAGCTTCAAATAAAAATAAAAAAATAGCGTAGATTAGAGGTCCAAAGTTTTAGATAGATGAAGCAATAGCCCTTTATTTATTTATTTATTTATTTATTTATTATTAAGGGGTTTTAAAATTTAAAAAAAATCTAATTATATGCACATCATTAATTGAGATCTATTTTGAGTGGCACATGAATCCATAAGCGTAACTCCTTCATGCTTACAAGGTTACACCGATACAATCTTCCTCAAAGTAGTGGTATGATGTGGCCACCAAAATTCAAACTTGAGAATTAAGTGGGAATCGGTTGGTAAAAATGTAAATCTCACATCTTACCCACACGAGGTAGAATTGATATATATGTCCGCTTTCTAAATTTCGTATGTTAAATTATTGATATTTTCATATTGCTCTTAATAATAACATTAATTAAGTGTTCTTAGATCAATTACTTTATGTCATGATTGAGATGTATAACTTTTTTTATATTTTAACTCGTCCTTTTAAAAAGAGACATAGAGAGTATAACACTGGACCACAATTTTAATATACTACGTATATACACTCTTAAAAGGTAGAAATCTCTCCCCTCCCCTTCTGTTCCTTCACCCCCATTAAACTTATTACTTCCTCTATCCCTATTTACTCGACAACATTATCAATCGTATTTAATCAAACTATTTCAAATAAATAAGAACATCAACAGAGATATGAAATAGGATCTTGTTGACTCATGTGTGGTTCCGATCCAAAAATTGGTCTCCTTACCATGTTAGAAAATAAATATCTTCGACAGCCGTTCACAAGAGAAGAAAAAAATAGCTCACTTTTAGGAATTATAATTGGACCACCTAACGTCACTGATACCAAAAACGGGTATAATTAGTGCGTAAGCCCAAAGACTAGGACCAACCTCTTTTTAGGCATTTTTCTTAATTAAACTTTTTTTTTTCTTTTAATGAAACACTAAACATATTTTTAATCAATTTTGCCAATTAATAAACACTTAACTTTTTATCTAAACTTCACTTCAAGGACTTGGGAGTTAGGACTGGATAGTTCTCCTAGAAGATATACATAAATTATCATAAAGATTAATAAAGATAAATTAAATAATCAGATATTTCCACTAGCATTTGTTTTATGGACTTAAAAGCATAATTTTTTTTAGTTTACATAAAAAAATGAAATACGTATGCGGTGTGCTACAAGCCTAACAACATAGTGTCATGAAAGGGATAGAACTCATAGAAGGATACTTCCCAATTCGGAAATGGTGCACATATGTTCCCTCACAGCTAAGGTTACAACCGGATCGCCTATCTATTAGATTTTTAATAGTTTTGTTGCACAATACATCATTAGTTAATGTAACCGACTAACTATTCGATATTTAACAGTTTTTTCAGTTTTCTGATACCATGTTGGTGGTTTGATCATTTCAAACAAAAGCTTAACATGATGGTTGATGTCTAGGGATATGTTTAATACTATATAAGTAGGTAATCCATTAATCTACCCATTATGTTAAAAAATTAGTGTTCACGGTTAAATTGAAATGTGACAACTTTACGTAATAAATATAAATATCTACCACATCAGATGGATGAATAATCTACTTTCTTCGTCACTTTCATTGATTTTGATTATTATTATTAACACTTACATCCAATAATAAATTTTTTAATTGTTTTCTAAATTTAGAATACCACAATACTAAGAGTTTGTGATTCAGACTCTTACAAGTGGATCAATTTAAAACCAAGAAAAATGGCAATTAGTAGTTAAAACTTAAAACTATGTCCAAAACTCCCAAAAGTATATGTATGTTTTAATGGGGGTACTTAAAAATGCAGTAGTAAAATCCACAGCTCTCTCATAAGTCATATCCCTCTTCCCTTTCAAAAACGCTAAGATATCGGTCCGTCTTATTACGAGTACAAAATACACTATCAACGCGACTATTAATTAATCCCGAACCAATTCTTCAAGATCATAATCAATGACAAGGAAGCAATAAATTATATTGACAAAAGCAAAAACAAAAAGCTCAAATAACCTGATTTGATGAAATAGTAGAAATTCAATCCAATTTCTTCAAATCTGAGACATCCAAGTTTCTGCTGGAAAACCCATCAAAAAATGTGGAGAAAAAAAAAAGTCATGAGATTTTTTTTTTTTTTTTTTTTTTTTTTGGGTGTGTAAAATCAATAAGAGTACTGGAAAAATTGGGGTGTAAAGGAGGAGAAATAGACAAGGGTAGCCCTTAAAATGTGGGGTATCCTTTTCTTTTTAGGGGGCCCAATTAATTTTTGGGCCGTCACACAGGACGGTAGTATCGAGAGAAGGTTTATCTGGGGACCACAGAAATAATTTATTTTTTTAAAAAAGGTTTTTTTATTTCATTTTTAAAATTTTGGAGTACTATGAATATTTATTGAATTGGATTTTATAAATGTATGTTGTGAACTGTGAAGTCCGCCTTAGGAAAAAGAAGTAGGGGTGTTTTAGTAATTTCATAAGGAAAGTGAGATTGTTAGATTTGATGGAGGTGTTAGCACGTGTGCAACAGGTGGATTCATGCGTGTATCCCTCGTTTGACGCGTGTCTTACTAATTTTTATTGTTGCAAGAACTTGCAATGTGACCCGATGCGATAATTCGATTCTAAGTTAGTATAAAAATATCGGTCTTCGATTGAGATTTAATATAAATTAGTTAGAAATTGATGTGTTTTTATGATAATTTAAACTATATATTAGGCATGTAATGATTAATAATAATAACATTGGTGAAAAACATTTTTTGACCCGTAACCTGAAATAATGACCCTGTTCGAAATGACTCGTGACCCGACCCGATTGACAGGTCTACACACAGTAATAAAATTATATTAGATTGTAAAGTATATTGTTTTAATTGATTAGAATATATTATAAATAATGGATGTGGTGCATTTTGAGCTAATTCCTTTGCTCCAAAAAAATACTATGATACAAAAAATAAATTTATATGATAATTTATTTAATTTTTAATAAAATTATAATTTAATTTGTACATATGAAATATTGGTATTTTATTGAAAATAAATTCTAAATTAACAATTTTATCCTAAATTTCTATCCAAATTTGATTGAAAATAGAATTCTAAATTAACTTTTTTATCTTACAAATTGAATTCTATATAACTCTATCCTACGTGGCGCGACACTTGGCAAAAAGTTTGAACGCCAAGTGTCGCTATTTTGTCGCATGGCTAAAAGTTTAGCTTTATATATTAGTTATATATGATATGGGTTATAATTCAATCACAGAGTAACACGTTTTTATATTGATACTTCATGTGGGAGTGAGATATTACTCATATTAGCTCAAGTGGTTAGAGATTTTCTTCCAATTATAGGAATCCAGGAATGATACTGCATTCGGTTTTTTTAATATTTTTGATAGTTACTATTAGTAATAATGATCCTATATATAAAGTGAAAGGATTTTGGGTGATAAATTTCACTTTCTCAAATACCCCTCTTAATTTTGTCTTTTTTTTTAAATAAAAAAAAATCTATCATCTAAACAACAAAAAAGAAAAGGACCACCTAAAAAAGCTACCATCTGGAGAGAAAAAAAAAAAAAAAAACCTTCCATCTCAAAAGAAAAACGGAGAATCAAGCATGATATATTCACACACACGAATTTTTGTGTGTCGCTTAGCTTGTAGGTAGAAAAGGAAATTGTGTAATGGTAGGGCATGCTATAATCGGAGATCGATAAAGTGTATTAATTGTCCAACTAAGTTAAGTCATATATTCAAATCATACAAGCGGATAAGTTGCGGTGGGTTAAATGATCGTGAAATCATAAAAGTTTCTTGTTATGTAGTAAATTTATAAAGATGCCTCAAAAAAAAAAAAAAAAAAAAAAAGTAAATTTATAAAGAATATTACGAATTTGACCTGTGATAAGAACATTTAGAAATGAATAGAATGAAAAAGTAAAGGGTTATCCCGAAAAAAAAAAAAAAAAAAATCTAGCTCCAAATCAAATACCATTAATCCAATCATATTAAACTTTAAAACAAATAATGTATGATTGGTGCACCCGGGTGCACCATGCGTATGGTGTACCCAAAAAGAACATTAGGTATATTTAAAAGAACATGGGCGAAAAAAAGAACATTATAGATATTTATAAAGAACTTGAGCATAATATGTTCTTTAAATTTGATTAATATGTTCTTTGAGTTTGAACTATATGTTCTTTACATTATACAATATGCTTTTTAATGTATGTACATTAAAAAAAAAAAATCAATCACCCGAGTAACTAGAAAAAAGAACATGTTCTTTACTGTATTATCATGTTCTTTTTGTAAAGAATTTATGTTATTTGGTTAGAGGTGATCAAAGTTAGACCAACCCGGCTTGATTTTGGACGGGTTTTGGGCAAAAAAATTTCACCCCCTAATTCGGTCAGATTGCGTTATTATGCATTTTAGTTGATTTTTTATACTCAACACGAAAAGCCCGTACGGCCGGACCATTTTGGGCAGGTTTGGGTACAAAAACTTCAGCCCAAAACTTGGCCCGACTCGAGAAGTGAGCTGATTTTTTAACCTTGGCCCAGTCCACCCAATGATCACCTATATCTTTGTCAAACACGAACATGTTCTTTTTTGTCAAATATAATGTTCTTTTTCAAACACATTTAACCACCCAAATAACCATGAAAAATAACATGTTCTTTTTGTAAAGACTTTATGTTTTTTGTAATGTCATGTTCTTGTCAAACACAAACATGTTCTTTTGTCAAACACAGGTATGTTCTTTTTCAAAGACTAGCATTTTTTTTGCCCATATTCTTTAAAATATGTCTAATGTTCTTTCCAGGTGCACCATGCGGGTGCACTATACTATTTTCATAAAACAAAAGGATTAGGGTATGTTCTCATACGTTGAAATTCAATTCAGTTTAGTTCAGTCCAGCTCAATTCAATTTAGTTCAGTTTAGCTCCTATTTCCTTCTCTTATAAAATATTCAGTTCAGTTCAATTCAGCTCAGTCAGTTCAGTTTAGCTGAATTCAGTCAATGAAAAGAGGCCCTAAAATGACATTTTTAAAATTATTGCCTATTGATCACAAGTGAGTTATTGGGTACAAACAATGTCTTGGATTGTTGCACCAATGTCATTAATAATTCATTTTTGTATAAGATTATCACATACTTTAATTATTTACACATTAATCTTTAAGTTTAATGTTACTAATAATTTACATATTAAATAATTAAAAGGAAATACTCTATATCTATTACGAGTAAATATTTTTTTATATGTACCTAAAACTACTACCTACCCTCATGAGGCCTAACTGCCTAATCCTCGATTTATTTTGAAAGGTGTATGTCAAAGTCAAACCATTACTTACGGTGGATTTCATTCTTACCAAGCTTTATATGCATACATTAAGAGATTGATTATAGATTTGTAGATGATACAATTAATTTTAATGGATAACAATCAACCTACCAATTCGAATTAAAACTTTGACGGATTAAATAAATTCTTTGCTCAAAGTAAAAGAAAATTAAGTGATTTTGTTTCTTGCACACGTTTAGAAGTCCACCAAACATAAAAGCTGCCTCTATTTTTCTATCTTATAGGTCAAGGTTTGAATCTCTGGTCCATAATTCATCAATTTTCTCTTCATATGTAAGCAACTTTAGCTTCGCCTCCTTTTCCTCCGACCTCCTAACTAGAATATACTACTTCGTGTAAAAATTAACATGAACAATCTAAATTCATGTTACATTAATTTATTTTCGTAACAAGTTAGGCATGCATGTTATGGTGTTTCTTATGGTTAGGCAGATTCACTTATAGTTTGACTTGTAAAAGTAACAATTTCAATTAAACTACACTATTTTTTAACAACAATATATTCTCTAATTATGAGATCGATCAAAACATTTAATACAAGCATACAATATTTAAAGTAGTGCCTTTGAATGGTTAAATTATACAACTGAAGTGTTAGTGTGGTACTACATTATATGTCTATATTTGTAGTTAAGGGTGCTTAGGATGCGAGTCGAGCTCGAGTTTGAGGTAGCTCGACTCGACTCGTTAACATATTGAGTTGACTTTTGACCGAATTTGACCGAGTTGAGCGCGAGTAGCTTGATATTTGATTCATCTTAGTAGAAACCCCTATTTAATGTAACATCTCTTCGTTCTCTTTATATTTGTACTTTTGAGAAATATACAAATGATGATATGAGTACATATATGTTGTATTTTTGTTAGTTAGTAAAAAAAAAAAAAATCAATTCTTTTATTAAATATAATATTGCATAAAGGAATTTGAGTTTCTCACGATCTTTTGAGTCCAGTAATGAGCTATTCGACTCGACTCAACATTTCGAGTTAAACTCGAGCCCTAGTAGCCCACATGTTGTCTTGTCTCATAAACACCCTTATTTGTGGTGGTACATTGGTACCAAAGACTTGGGCAATGTTTGGTTGCAACAGGAAGTTATTTCTCATAGAAATTTGTAATATATAGGAAATTAATTGCCTCATGTCATTCCTAGAAATTAGTCAATCAGCCAAAGTTGTTTGATCACCTTGACGAAGACCGCACTAAAGTTGAATAGAAGGAAAAGGACTTCCATTAACCAACACCTCATAAGATATTGTAGAAACACATTACTGAATAATATGAATCCAATATTCTAGGAAATCGAAAAACTGCAACACATGAAGTAAGAAATTCCATCGAACCCGGTCATAATAAGCCTTATTCATGTCAAGCTTCAAAGAAGCATTAAAAACGGTTCTGATCTTTAAAACCATTCATGAAAGAAAGAATCTCGTGAGCTACCAGTCCATTATCGGACAACAGACAACCAGGGACAAAAGCATTATGAAAATTGGAAACCAAAGATGGAAAAACTAGCCTAAGGCGACCCCACTTAGCTATGCGCTTATAAAGAACATTGCAAAGGCCTATGGTTTGAATCTAAGAAACAAACTCTGGACTATCCACTTTAGGAAGAAGGACCAGGAAAGTACGATTCCAATCCTTCAATAAATAACCATGAGCGAAGAAATGCTGAACCGCATGAATCACCAAAGCGCCCACCACTTGCCAATGGGTCTTGAAAAATGTCGAAGTGAACCCATCCAGACTAGGGAACTTATTATCATATATATTAAACATAGCAACC